TCATCATTTCCGTCCAAAAGGTTGAATCCCCAACCTCAAGGGCCCCCACCCCGATCCGACAGGATGGTGGGGGAGTAAATCACGGTGACTCAGTCCGCAAAGCGGCAGTAGGCCTTTACCCGTCGTCATCATCATCTCAACTACGCACGTTGTAGTCACTTAAACTGAACGATAAAATGTCAATTGATTATCAATATATTATCAGCTGCACCTTAATCTAAAAAGATGTGATATTGAACTTATAGTGCCAGTTAATTGGTAATTTATTAAACTGTACGCCGGTTAATTGTCTAAAATTATATGGCACTATATATAACTTCATGCAAAAACCATTGACACAGTAAAGATAGATGTTTCGAGAAGGAATATTCTGATGATATTTCTAAGTTGTGATCACATAATAGGTTTTACCGTTTTATCAATTTAATTTGAGTGGGAAATATAATGACGGTGAACTGATATAGTTTCTAATTGCTATAGGCAAGTCCTCTTGGGATATTTTTATTCATAATATATTGTTTTATTTGTAGATTAACTTTATCTTGTTTATATGAATACTAGTATGAGTTTTGTTTTTAATATGTCTACACAGATTTTAACATTCAACTTGATCAACCGCTAAATTTGTAAAACCAGTAGTTTTAAAGTTATAAGCTATATATAAACTATATGGATACGCGTATAGAAATCTTCCAACATCTACACTGCTAATTACATCTATATATTATTTTAAGTGCTATAATGTGATATACTGACTATTGATTATTGCACTCTAACTTTTTTTTACTAATGCTAATTACGGAGTACATGTTATTTGATGACTTTCAATTTAATTATATATGTGATTACATTATTTGGTCATTGAAAATAACTTTTCAAATAAACAAATGACTAGCTATAGTACATTTTGAATTTGCACGCTTATTGCAACCCCGCACCAAAACTTACTAGTTTGTCAAAGTTTTAGCTAGGGAGGATTTAATTAGATGTGTGCATATGTATATAATATATATCATGATATTTGTTAGTTTATATACTATTTAATGATTAATGCTTTGTGAAATCTTCTTAGAAACCGTTTGTTTAACACACATGCATGCTATTTCAGATCAAATTACAATGTGGAGTTGCAGAGTATTTATGTCAATGGCCAACAAGTACCAATTGATCCACAAGCATTTGGTACAAATTATGGCAGAACAATAATTGACTCTGGAACAACAATGGCTCACATTGTGTCTGAGGCACATGATCCTCTAATCAATGCAGTAAGTTAATTACTACAAAGTATTAATTTATCAACTTGAAAGAGATGATTCTTTGATGAATTGCAAAAGGGAAATAAAAAAAATATGTGGAGTGTGTATGTTAATTACCTAGTTAAGATTTTCAATTGTGATATTCACTAGTGCTCTTATTTACATAGATCAACCAGGTTGTATTGGCATATGCTAATGTGGTTTATATGGGGGATACTCAATGTTATACATCCATAAAAAGTATCACTCTATAAAAAGTAATTTGGTAGAGTGATACGACAAAGAACATGCAAAATAATTTGGTAGAGGAGAACCTATTTGTGGATCAATAGAGAAAAACTTAAGGATTGAGTAACTTGGAGTGGTGTGTACTCCATGTGAAACACCTTTCAATCTAGGCCATTTCAGTTGTAAAGGCTAGATTGGGCACTAAGTGCATTGGGCTTAATACTTTAGTGGAAATCCATCTGAAAGAGGGTGGGACTGGACGTAGGAGGATTACACCACCTCTGAACCAGGATATACTATGTGTTGATTTACTTTCAGTCAACAAAGCACTACACACCCAACACTTCTCATTAAAGAAAGTAGTCTGCCAGCAGTAGCCTCATCTGACACCACTGCTCAGCCTACTGCTTAATTACATATTTTCTTTGAGACATCTTTACATTGCAGTAATCTTACTAAATCACTACAAAGAAGTTTGTTCAAATAGATTTCTGGGAATCATACTCAGCAGGTACCTCAGCAGTTCCCTGGCAATCACCCAACTGCTCAGGCCACTGCTCCCATAAACTTCCACTTAAACTCAGCTGAGCACATTTCCAGAAAGATCATATCATTCTAAGTAAGATTCTACAATCCGCCCTCTCATATTCTCATCTTTTATCAAGCATTTGCCTCAGCAGTTCCCTGGCGACCACCCAACTGCTCAGACCATTGCTATCATAAATTCCCACTTTCCACTCAGCCCTATACATCTCCAGATCGTCCTCATTATCCTGAGTAAGACTCTATAATTAACTCCATTACAAGCTATATATTTTCTCAGCAGTTGCCTCAGCAGTTCCATGATTTTCACCCAATTGCCGAGCTAACTGCTAAGCAACCTGCTCATTGTTTAAGCCAAATCTTTACCCAAAGATAGAAAGTTCATACTCATAAAGAGCTTAAGACTTCCGTCGCGCATCTACAATCTTCCAGAATATTGTAGACCAACCTATCTAGTAGGGAAAACTTTTTAAAGTCCAAAAAGCTTTAAAAATCTATTCACCCACCCTCTAGACGTACTTTTACCTCTAAAAGGGACCATCAGCATGATATAAAATTATAAGCTCTGCTTGTTGAGTATCAAGACATTTTTCATCATGCATCAAGTCTCATCTATTGAGCATTAGAAGTATGGAGTTGAATATCGTGATCTCTGCTCTCATACCTTTGAATTCACTTTCTCATTTTTTTCTTTTTTTTTCTTTTGTAATAATTTCTTAAATTATATCCATAATCATCTTTTGCGAATTCAATATGCAAATATAAATTATTACCGATTATTATACGTTTGAAATTTAAATTAATATATAGTATGAAAATCGCAATCTGTACGAATTGAGCAACATGACATTTTCATTGGACATCAAACCTACTTTATTGTGCATTAAAACTCTCTAATTGAGTATCGTGATCGTTGCTCCCATATATGTCTTTTAATACACTTTCTTATTGTTAGCTTTTCTTTTTTCTTTTGTACAATTTTTTTAAACTATATTTATAATCAAGTCCTGTGAATTTCAATAGGCGAATTTAGTGTGGTATTATACTTTTGAAATATGCATTGATATGCCATTTTTACATTAGCGTAACACCAGTACCAAATGAGCATACATAACTTTCAAAATAGGTATTGAAAAATTCAAAAGTTCATTTGTGTATGCACATTACTTTTAAGCATTATACTCACTCGAATATAACATAAACTTCTTTCTATAGTATGCACATTGAGTAGATTCGTTATTAACAAATTACTAAACTATCAACTATTTACATACAACTATTTAAATCTATATATTTCGCAATTATAAGTGTTTATATTTATGATATTTGGTTATGAGTAATACATAGTAATTAATAGCACTAAATAAGTTTATACTGCGTATTAGTTCAGAAATAATATGAGTACAATTATTGGCGGTATAATAAAATAAAAAGGTTTGTGGGGGCATAAAATAAAAAACTATTTGGGGGAAACTCGATCCTATTTTAAATAAATTACTTAAACGCATGCGCAGAGCCGCAGAGTGTGTTTGTTCTATTAAAGCAAAAGTTAAAGTTTTGAACTTTATCCACGTGACGCAAATAATAAGACCATCCCGATGGACTACGTTCACATATAAAAACAGTGTTCTGATTCTTATTTCTCTACATTCCATCATAGTCAATAAAATACACTCTGCATATTTTTTTACATATCAATTAGGAAAACATTAGTTAAATTATTATAAGTAATGTTTTCCTTTTAATTTTTTCTCTGATTAATTATAAAATAAAAAAGACACATTTCGATGTAAAAAATAAATAAATTTCATAATTTTTTTTTAAATTTTTTTCGATTGACAAAAAATGAACTTCGTCCAAGTAAAATTCGATTATGGAATGTTAAGTTATTTATGAAGGCACCATGAATTAAAAATCTGTGTTTCTTATTTTTTAGGCCTAAAAACTCCAGCATTAAAATTTTAGATTTTTTTTTAAACTTTTATATATGCAATATTGGTGTCCAATGAAAAATCGTAAAATTTTATAAATTTTTATATACGTTATGTAAAATTTGGAATATAAATAAAAAAGTTACATACCTTTAAATGAAAAAGGGTTTTTTAGAGCCCGTTTGGTAACCCCTTTTTTCGGCTTATCAGGCTTATCAGCCAGCTTTTTCACCAAACACGTAACTTTTGATTTCGCGAGCTGAATTTTGTAATAAGCAGAAAAAGTAAGGTTGGAGTTACTTTTCTGGCTATATTAGCTGAAGTTATTGTAGAGGATCATTTTAGTTATTTTTTCATATAATTTTTTATTTAATTTATTAATAACAAATATTTTAAATATAATTTCTGCATGAATCAGTAGAATCAGCCAATAAAGCCACTTCAGCCAGAATTTCATAAATTTCAGCAAAATCAAGCAATTCAGCCACTTTTAGTGTTACCAAACGGTCTCTTATTGTATAAAATGACACCAACTTCATTTAAAAGAACAGTACGGTCCCTCTTGGCCTGGGCCAGCTGCGTAGCTCAACCGGTAGCGAGAGAGTGCCACAAGGGTTAAGTCCCGGCTTCGAATCCCGGCAACTGTGATGAGAAGTTACTATGCTAAAAAATGCATAGGGCCTCTGTAAGTATCGGGGACAGAGTCTCACTCTCTATCTGTCAGATTGTGATTATAATCCAATTTACATCCTCCCAACGTACCATCCGGTCAGTGTTTGGGGTCCCTCAGAAATAAGGTGTCATCCATCTTCTATATTTGAGACTCTCCCCTCCACTTTCCATTTTTGATACTTCAAGGAGTCACAACGTAAGAAATTAGGAGTCCAAAAGAAAATAGGAGAAATTAGGAGAAATTAGGAGTCACCATGCGCAGAGTGTGTTTGTTCTATTAAAGCAAAAGTTAAAGTTAAGTGAACTTTATCCACGTGACGCAAATACTAATAGTCTTATAAAATGACTCCTACAAAACGTACTCCGTAGTTAAAACAAACGAACCCTCTGCTATAAAACCCCTCCGGCCTCTTCTTTCTTTGCCTGCTTCCAGGAGCGTTCAAGATCCTCAAAGGTATTAAGTAGACAAACTTCTGGTAGACAACAGAACCAGCCATCCCGTCCAAGCTCCTCATTTCCCTTCTCCCAAAGGTATTAAGTAGTAACCTTTGCGAGTACGTTATTTCTTTTCTTTTTTTAAAACCCCTTAGTTGGAATTGTGAAGTCCGATCAGCATTTTTTGTTTTTTGTTATGTACATTGGATATTTCAATTCTTCAAATGAGTATTATTTCAAATGAGTGTTATTTAGCTTTATAAGATATAATATAATATATATCTTATATTATATAAATCACATCTTTGATATAATCTACTCAAATTTATATTTTTAAACGTAAACTCAAGTGCAACTCGTGAATGTACTTTTATTTATATTATACTAGAAGAAAATGTAATATTTAAATCATGTCAGATCAGAAAGATTTAGATCAGATCAGAAACATTCAGATCAAATCAGAAAGATTCAGACTAGATCAGGCCAGAGCAGAAACATTCAGATCAGATCAGAAAGATTCAAACCAGAACAGGCCAGATCAGAAACATTCAGATTAGACTAAAAGCATTCAGATCAGATCAGATCAGATCAGAAAAGTTCAGATATGGTTATCCCTTTTATTATTATTATTATTGTTGTTGTTGTTGTTGTTGTTGTTATACAGAGTAATTATAATTATAATTATAGAAATAAATATTATAATTATAATTATATAAATAATTATAATTAAATATATAATTACAATTATGAATATAGCTACATTTATAATTAGTGTAATGGGTATAATAATTATACATATCATCATTATAATTATAATTATGATTGTAATTATAATTATAATTTTTTTATAATAATGATTATTGTTATAATTGTATTTAAATTATATTTATAATTACAATTATAATTTGAAAAATATTCAAATCAAATCAGATAAAAAAGATTCAGGTCAGAAGGATTCAGATCAGATCAGAAAGATTCCGATAAGATCAGACCAAATTAAAAAGATTCAGGCCAAATTAGAAAGATTCAGACCAAATCAGAAAGATTCAGACCAAACAGAAATATTCAAATCTGGTTTGAATCTTTCTGATCTGATCTAAATGTTTCTGATCTGGCCTGATCTAATCTTAATTTTTTTGATCTGGTTTGAATGCTCCTGATCTGATCTGAACCTTTTGATCTGATCTAAATATTACATTTTCTTCTAATATAATATAAATAAATGTACATTTAAGAGTTGCACATGGGTTTATGTTTAAAAATATAAACATGAGTAGATTATATTAAAAATGTGATTTATATAATATAAAATATATAAATACAAAACTAAATAACACCCATTTGAAATAACACTCGTTTGAAAGATTTGAAATATCCAATGTACATAACAAAAAACAAAAAATGCTGATTGGACTTCACAATTCCAACTAAGGGGTTTTAAGAAAGAAAAGAAAAACCCTACTCGGAATCCCAAATTCCGATTGTGGGTTTTTGATAATTCAGCAAAACCCTCGAAGAGAACAACTTTTAATAAATTGATTTCTAGCAGATTGCATTTCATACTCCCGTTAATCCGTCTTTTTCTCTCGCAATATAGAGAACTCAATGGGTTATACAATCTTATTTATAGATTATCGTTTTTATGATTTATATATACAGACAGATTAACACGGAGAGGTGTTAACGTTTGATCTACAAAGGGTTAATACCAAAGAATATAGCTTTCAGCAACATGACAAAGTGAGAATGGTACGACACTACATTCAACAATATAGTAATGGTGCGGAGACTCTCCCCGTTCAGGGAAGCTTTGATTCTGGGTCAGTAGATCGAATATCTTCAACTTCTTATTTCTTGCATGTCTTCAAAAATTTATTTTATACATTAAGTTTGGTAGCTATTTTTTAATAAGATTTTATGTTGGTTAGGATTTACTATACGCAAATTAAATTGGGAACTCCTCCAAAGGAATTCCGTGTGGGAATAGACACGGGAAGTGATGGTTTATGGGTGAATTGTGCTTCCAGGAGCGTTCAAGATCCTCAAAGGTATTTAGTACGAAATTTATAATCCATATATGTTCATTGCTTGAAGCCATCATTGTATAATCTATTTCCAGTTAAAAATAAAAAATTTAAACGCACTTGACAAAAAGACTAATGATACACCCTATCAAGGTTGTTAAAATCGTATTTTTGAATCGAATCAGTTGATGTTTTTGAAAATCGAATCGTAAAATCGAATCGCAAATCATAAGATTTTATCAAACATATCTTAATAATTATAAAATAAATAAATATTAATACTAAACCGCAAGTTAATGGTATTATATCATTTCATTACATAAAACTATACCTACAAGGTCCAAATTAAAGCATGACTTATAAACTATTTTAATAATGTAAATGTAGTGAATAATAACATTAAACATATGTAAAAAATAAAAATAATTAAATAACACAAGAATCCGTTACTTTTTTAAATATGCTATTATAATTATTATTATAATTATGTATCAATTTGTAGTAGTTAATTTTAATAAATTTGAACCATTTTCACTAAAAAAACGTATTACGATTTCGCTACGATTTTAAACGATTCTATACGATTTTTGTACGATTTTTTACGATTTTGTATGATTTTATGATTTTACCTGCGATTTGAATCGATATACTAATTTAGAATCGTAAAATCGTACGATTTTACGATTTAAATCTAGAATTTAACAACCTTGCACCCGATTTGACCCGACTCGATCTATTTCTATCTATGCGGGAGTGCCCCGCTTCAGAAAAGTTCTGGGTCCGCCACTGATTATATCTAATATTTTCTATTATAAAACATATTTTAGGTTGTGGTTTTATAATTTATATTATAGTTATATTTTACATTGTATATTTTTCATTTCATTTTTTAATTTATTTAATATTTTTTCATTTCATATATATTTCGTACTATTTGATTATTTACTTTTATAATTCGTACTAAATATAGACAACATAAAAAATTATACTCCCTCCGTCTCAAATTGATGGTCCTATACTTTTTGGGTTCAAATATTAAGAAAGTGAGGTAGAATGACTCATACGGAGTATAACCTTACTTTATTGTATTGTTCATTTCTTTACTTTTATTGTTCATAAAAAGTAGGGTTATAAATGGTAATCTACTTTAATTTCCTTACCAAAAAGGAAAACAAGACCATCATTTCGGGACAACTCAAATAGAAAATACAGGACCATCATTTGGGATGGAGGAAGTACTATATTAAAACTAAAATATAAACCTCATTTAGATATGTATGTAAACAATACATATATTATATTAATTTTTAATAATTGTATACGCTACACACTAATTATGTCTACTTTATACCGTATAAAGTAAGCTAATGTATATATATATATATATATATATATATATATATATATATATATATATATATATATATGTATATGTACGTGCTTAGTATATTTAGTCATTGATCCCACTTCTATATATAAAATATAAATATAATATATGGAAATAAATTTAAAGCATTTCTTTTAGATTATGTTTTATTTTTTATTTTGAGTTTACCACTAAATATAAATATTTTCTATTTATATTATTTTATAGATGTCTATAATTTATATTTTGGACTTGTATTGCATGTATATATATATATACTCTATTTCTTTTTTCAATTTTCACAGTTTTTAATACTTGATTGGGTTGTGACCCCTCAAGTTTCCACATCAAATGCACAATTGACACTTTATTAAATGACGTGGATCTGACCGGACAATTATCTGTAAAAAGTGAAATTTGAATCTTTTTATCGAGTTCAATGTGTAAATTGGATTGTTTCTAATTCCGGGGTAAATTGAGCATTGCAGACTAAGGTTGAAAGCGAATCAAATAATTTTAATCAAATGAAACTTATATTACTTGTAGTGTTTTCAAATGCAAAAATGTATACGACTCTTTTTTGGTTTTTTAAAACTATAACTCATCACAATAATTACTCCCTTTTATTTATCATGAGAATAATACATTTTAACAGTAAAAGTAACTAATGTCACCCTTCACCCCACCAACCCCACCACCACCGACCGACTTACGGTCCACTCTCCAATCGACGATAGTGATCACAGTCTATAGCCACCATCAAAATCCCGCTAGCGACCTCACCTAACCCATTGTTAATAAATAGCTTGTTAGCGTTAAACGCTCAATAAACTATAGGCGCAACCATAGTCACTGAGGCCATAACCGAATCGATGTCATGAGAACCTTAGCTTGTAGTGAGTGTGCGACTCAAAGTCTCGAACCCAAATCATTATCACTAAAACCCTAGCCGTAGTCAATGGAATCTTAGTTGGGAAGCAATCCAAGATATACCAAATTTTCCAATTAGCAATTTTACTAAACACATACATCTCAACGCACTATCGATGGAATGCGATAGTAAGTTAGTAACTATCATGAGTGTAATCACTTACGAGGTGTTTAGACATGAAGTTCTATTAGATCACAAAATACTCTACAATATCTCAATAAGGATGTTTTTACTTGTATTGAAGCTTGCTCGTCTTATCTGTTTAAGTCTGGTCATTTCTAGTATAGTAAATGTCTGATATCTGTGTGTTTCATAAGTATATAAGTCTGGTCAAGTGTAGTCTAAACTGGTGTGGTCTAATACGATTTGTTTAAGTCTGATTTGGTCTGAAAAACATACCGTCCAAGTAAAATATCGTAAGTATGTATGTACTATCGTATTTTTTATTTACTCCAGAACTCACCGAACAATATACGATTGGTCCCAGGTCTATATGAAGTAGCGTAGCGATGAGTCATGAATGGGAATGTGAGACTAAAATTGATAAAAGGAAACAAATTAAAATCATAAAGTATGTTTGCCAATAATTAGTATAGCCAATAAAATCCGAGTTTTTTACTTAATGTAGTTGTATCTTAGCAAATAAACTAGCAGTGCGGAATGCCCCAATGAAAGAAAAAAGAATCCACCATTAAGTCTTATCTTTATACAGGAAGCCCTGGATCTAAAAATAATTGATGAACTATAGTTTTCTAGTATTTTTGTAGACATTAGCCTTAAATTAATGAAGGTAAAATAGCTCTAAAATCATTTTATTCCAAAGAAAGAGTACTTTATGCCCCTCTTCCTATTTTACCCTGAACCTACAATACCTAATAAGTTTACCACTTTTTTTATAGCAAAAATATAATTTTATTGTAAGAAAAATATAAAAATAATAAATTATTTATAAGTTTATAATAGAATAAAAAAATATATACTGTCGTAATAAAATAAAAATAAAAATAAAATAAAAAATTAAAAAAATTAAAATGGAAAAATACATGAAAAATATGGAAAGCTATTCCAGCACCACCACCTCTGATCGTCAGAAGAAATGCAATGTTCTGTAAAATATTCACACTTCTCTAGATTTTTACGAAGAACACATTTTTATTTTTTGAAAATACCATTTTTAATTTGCTCTCAAAATTGTCATCGAGATGACATTATTTTTGCAGGTTGCAACATAGTTTAATAATCTTACTATCATTCTAGATATATTCGATCAATTGTAATTGAAATGCACTTCAATTAAAAATGGTATTTTCAAAAAATAAAAATGTGTTCTTCGTAAAAATCTAGAGAAGTGTGACTATTTTACAGAACATTGCATTTCTTCTGACGATCAGAGGTGGTGGTGCTGGAATAGCTTTCCATATTTTTCATGTATTTTTCCATTTTAATTTTTTTAATTTTTTATTTTATTTTTATTTTTATTTTATTACGACAGTATATATTTTTTTATTCTATTATAAACTTATAAATAATTTATTATTTTTATATTTTTCTTACAATAAAATTATATTTTTGCTATAAAAAAAGTGGTAAACTTATTAGGTATTGTAGGTTCAGGGTAAAATAGGAAGAGGGGCATAAAGTACTCTTTCTTTGGAATAAAATGATTTTAGAGCTATTTTACCTTCATTAATTTAAGGCTAATGTCTACAAAAATACTAGAAAACTATAGTTCATCAATTATTTTTAGATCCAGGGCTTCCTGTATAAAGATAAGACTTAATGGTGGATTCTTTTTTCTTTCATTGGGGCATTCCGCACTGCTAGTTTATTTGCTAAGATACAACTACATTAAGTAAAAAACTCGGATTTTATTGGCTATACTAATTATTGGCAAACATACTTTATGATTTTAATTTGTTTCCTTTTATCAATTTTAGTCTCACATTCCCATTCATGACTCATCGCTACGCTACTTCATATAGACCTGGGACCAATCGTATATTGTTCGGTGAGTTCTGGAGTAAATAAAAAATACGATAGTACATACATACTTACGATATTTTACTTGGACGGTATGTTTTTCAGACCAAATCAGACTTAAACAAATCGTATTAGACCACACCAGTTTAGACTACACTTGACCAGACTTATATACTTATGAAACACACAGATATCAAACATTTACTATACTAGACATGACCAGACTTAAACAGATAAGACGAGCAAGCTTCAATACAAGTAAAAACATCCTTATTGAGATATTGTAGAGTATTTTGTGATCTAATAGAACTTCATGTCTAAACAACTCGTAAGTGATTACACTCATGATAGTTACTAACTTACTATCGCATTCCATCGATAGTGCGTTGAGATGTATGTGTTTAGTAAAATTGCTAATTGGAAAATTTGGTATATCTTGGATTGCTTCCCAACTAAGATTCCATTGACTACGGCTAGGGTTTTAGTGATAATGATTTGGGTTCGAGACTTTGAGTCGCACACTCACACAAGCTAAGGTTCTCATGACATCAATTCGGTTATGGCCTCAGTGACTATGGTTGCGCCTATAGTTTATTGAGCGTTTAACGCTAACAAGCTATTTATTAACAATGGGTTAGGTGAGGTCGCTAGCGGGATTTTGATGGTGGCTATAGACTGTGATCACTATCGTTGATTGGAGAGTGGACCGTAAGTCGGTCGGTGGTGGTGGAGTTGGTGGGGTGAAGG